CATCCTCACCGTTACACATGACAGTAAGCTCGATGATGTGCGTATCTCGCTGTCCTGTCTTAGAGACTTTACATTGGTAGCGCGTTGCATCTTCAGGTTTTAAAGTCTTGATTTCCAATGAACCATTTGTGTGTAACGTTATTCTGTCGTCAAATCTTGTATTCTTGAAAATCCTTCGGTTCCCATTTCTTATCAATGCAATTCTCTTCCATCCTTGTGTTGTGACGTCTCTGAAGCCCCAACTGAGATCTGCCGCTGAGCCCATGTTTTCATAGTATTTGCAGTCAAGTAAAACATTGCTGTTATGGCAAGCGGATTGTTTGTGCTCGGTTAAAAGACCTGAAGCTACGACACCTGGGAAAAAAATAAACAAAGTCAAAATACATTGGAACATTTTACACCGGAAGTACAAATCAAACCGGCAATGACCAAATGACCACAGGGTGTTTGACTCAAGCCAAGAATCCAACATTTCGCTGCTCTGAATCACGGAACTGCATCCGGAAGTTCGTAATTCGTATGAATTGTAATTCAGCCTTATAACGTTTTAAGGTCACGTGGAGCTAACTAGTTCTCCTTAAAGAATTGATATCGCATTCTATAGACTATAATCTATTCTATATTAAATTAGTGGTAGTTTTCAATAATGGAACGGGAAAAAAAGAAGAATGATATAAAATGTTTAGGAAAGAGTCTAGACGCACTGAGAGGACACTTATGATATGTTTAGAGTATAAACCTGTTCCCCAGTTATTAGGATTTCCTTGTCAGAAACACCGCATCAAGCATAAAAAGACGTACCTTCAAGAACGAGTACATACGAAAAAGATATGAAAATCGCGTTCAATCGGTTGTGATGCATGGTCTGGCTGTAGTTGGTTTGAAGTGATGATTCTTGCACAGATTATAGTGTTTGTGTCATTAAGGTCAGTACACAGTCTCTTACAGTGACGCACTCTATTAATAGCTTATTAGTTCAACTCGTCTGATTGCCAAGTTACGCATTGGTAAAGTCCCGATGGCTAACGAAGCTTTCACGATGAGTTTCCGATTATTATACGGATGTTTTGAAGGGTGTTATAGCGTTTCCTTGACTACGCCTACGTCACATAACATCTCCCACTAGTCTGGTTGACTTTTGGCGTTTTGTTTCGGCCATATTTGGACATTTGGACAGTGCATGTCATAGGATTAGGTTTGCTAGGATCTGACTTAATTTAAAATCATTTTTGCAGCGTCATGTCTTTCACAGGAAGAAACTTTCTTACCTTAAAATTGTTTTCAGCTCGTTTGGGAAAGCGTTACTGTGAAACAAAGAACGTCAGCTTGTTAGAGCCGATTGTTGTGTGAAAACGAAAGACCTTGTCAATTTGGTTGCTTCAAGACATGTATATTTTAAGAGGCTTTTCCCCGCTAATTACGTAATGCAAAAGCCTGCAGAGTACTTTTAATAGATCTATATTGGATGTATTTATTTGACGTGTGTCCCATTTTTCTGTTGTAATTTTTATCATATAATCATCTATGAAGTACCTATAATTCTCCATTTCGTAAAGTTGTTATTTTCACGAACACATTCGAGGTTTCTCCATATAGTGGAAGTAAAAAAAAGGTTTTTTACGAGTATGACAGAAAATTGCATGGTAGATTGGAGATACGAATATTATCATCTCCTGTTGAAAATCTCCTCATTCGTGTGGGATCTTTTGAAAACTCGAATATAAACTCTCCGCGCGCCCATTCGATATCCTCTATATATTCTTGCGGAAGTCTGAGGCTAAAATACTTGCATGTTAATTATGCTACATGTATTTATTTTTCTTGAATAATTATATTTATTGTTAATAATATTACATGACAAATAAATTGAATTGAACTGAATTGCCCTAGAGATGCCAACTTAGAATACCGTCTATTTAAGAAGTTACGGAGGCATTGTTTAGATCTACTTCCCCCCTCCCTCCTCCTCCCTTCCCCTCCCTTCCCATTCCTCTCCACCCATTAGGCAATGATGACAGACTCCCTCGATTTTCGCGATCGTAGCTGATTTTCGCCCACGATGCTCTTTACAAAACGAGGAAAAGTGAGCCTATTTACTTGTAACTTGAACCTATTTACTTGTAATTGTTTTGTAGTAAAGATCCGTTAGGGCAATGAGCGGATTTCGTATGAGTGGGAAACGGACGGTACTGTACTGTGACCGTAATCGTACTGTAACCAAATTCTAGTGCCCCATTGGTTCACCAAAATTGCGCAGGCCAGGTGCGGTAACTGTGCGTTAACCGTGCGGTAACGGTGTCCCACTCATACGAAATCCGCTCTAATTGCAGAAAAAGGTCAGTTGAGTTCCGGCGGAAAAGCAAGAGCACGGCTAGAGCCTGATTCTACGTTGACTCGACCAAACTGTTGTATTAGGCTGTGTCCAGTGTCAGGAACCCATTACTTATTATGTGGGCTTCCTGTGGAAGATCACGTCTAAAAATGTCAGTGGACTTTTCTTCGTCGTTGCACAGGCTTACCAGACTATTGAGAAGAGACGTCGGCTCCAGGCCTCCTATGGCGATTATCGGCCGAAAGCCGTTGAAATCTCTTTGAAATTAGGTCATTTTTAACGTCGATATTTGGGTTATTTGGGGGGGTTTATATTCTAGACTATTTTTAGTTTAGAAAGAAACTTTAATGCTTTCCGAGTCCGAATTTGTGATTCTTTTTGCCGTGCGATGTGTTTTTCATCCTTAAATGAGAAAAGGTAGACCGCTAGTTGCTAGTTGCTAGTTGCTAGTTGCTAGTTGCTAGTTGCTAGTTGCTAGTTGCTAGTTGCTAAAAGTTCGGTAAGACCGGTAATAGAAAATAGAAAATATAACAATTATCAGTCAAATTAACGAAAATATAATATAAATAATATAAATAAATTAATACTTTCAAGATTTAAATTCAATATTCTGCTGATTACATTTAAATCACTCAAAAATCAGCTCATGGTTCCTTATATCTACACATAATAACATACACCTAATTGCAAAAACGTTAAATTAAAACTTCTCAAAATTGTCTAGTTTTATTTTTTATAACGTTTTATAGCATTATAAATGGGTTTTGAAAAATATCCCCTCCTTATATATATATATATATATATATAGTGACAGGGGAGGACAGTCCGGTGGATTTCTCCTAAAAAAGAGACAAAAACGATCGACAAAAATCCTCTTTCGCGCCAACTTTGAGTCAAAACGAATTTTTGTCTGAGACAGTAAGTGYAAAATAACKKWTTTTRGMYKAATAGCATCAAGAGAAAAGTTTTCCGGGAGAAAAACTCAAGAAAATAGAGAAACCTTCTCACGTGTCGACAGTATCCTGGGCGGTAAATGCGGTCAGAACTGGCGACTAGACAAATTCCCGACCTCTGTGGGGGACACTGGGGACGTTTTGACTTGTCACAGCATATTTTGGTCTCTCCATGTATGTCACTTTTTTGCCGGCTTTTTTTTGCACACAAAAGGTGATTTTTTTTGCTTTGATTTCAAAATATTTGTTTCATCCGAATAGCCATTTTTTCTACACCTTATGTGTGCAGAAAAACAGTCAAATCATGGCTCCATAGTCAGATGAGATCGACGGTATAAAAACGACGGCAAGTTGCTTGGTTTATAAACTCGATGGTCTTGAATTTTAATGAAAGCCTGAGCTCGTGGTTTTGAACCAACCAAGTATAAACTAAAACTATCAAATTCATATGTTGATACGAATTATTTAGATTTGTGCCATATATAAATATCCAATATAATACATCATTTATACATCATTTATACATCATTTCTACATTCTGTTGTATACAAAATGTATACCCTGAACATTGCAACTAGCAACTAGCAACTAGCAACTAGCAGAATACCCAAGCTGTCCGTAAATGGTTGTGCATTGACTTCCGCTGGATGGCAAAAGTGGGGATGATGTCAAACTAAACCAATACGATATGGAAGATTTTGAACGAAGATTTTGTTCAGGGCCTAAAGTGCCGAAAAAAAATTCCTGCAAGGCAAAATTTTGAAAAATCTCCACTAAAGCTTTTGTAAATTTACAAAAAAAGTTGCAATCGCGCGCCTGAGTCCAAAAAAAATTCTTGCACCAACTAACCACCCCCTCCCCCGCTAATGGATCGCCCCGACCGACGCCCCTAAAAGATCGTTGCTTGAAGTCACTGCTCCATTTCCTATCCCCTTCCCTCTCCCCCAAAGTCCCATTAGTCGTACAGAAAACAAAATGGCGGGGAAATCGAGAATTCCCGTGAGCTATTTTAATCTACATCTTTTCGACGTGGAGACGGCACACAAGCTTTTAAAAGCAGATTATCCTCTCCAGCTAAATATGGTCATGGTATTACGTCAATAATGTATCGTGGATAATGCAATAATAGAGCGGATTTCAATGTAGATAGAAGTCGGTTGGCTGGAGCAATCATGTACATTTTCAATCGGAAGTTGGTTTCACACAAAAGTACATTTGATCCCACACAAACAACTGACAGGAACATATGTCATGAACTTTTATGCTCTCTGGTGAGATGGTGGATTGGGGATGGACGCTTTATCAACCATTTGATGTAAGGGCTAATAAGTTAAGTGTTTATATTCACATCTTATCATGCAGGGGTAGATTCAGCTAAGCTGGCATCTGTTTGATTAATTCTACTAAGCACTTCAGAGTGTTTTGAAGCATGAAAATCGCGTGACTATCCCTTGACATCGTTCGTAAACACTGTAATTCCTGCTAAAACAGCTCCTCGCTAGAAATAAGGAGCTAATAAATACTTGCAATTCACCAAGGCGGAGTGGCATGCACTGCAGTTACTACCAGGTTGAGCTAGGTTGTTTACAGGTCATTCCTCCGTGATATTGTATAAATTAATGTCATGTCAGTGGTAAATGCTTAATTTACTGCTCCATTTTTGGCAAATGTAAATGTAATTTTAAGCAGATGTCGTTCGGGTTCATTGAAATTCAGCGAAAATGGGCTCCTTACGTATACAATAACATCAGTCATGTGAAAGTCAAATATTGGCCCAGTTCTCAAACTGGAGTCTTTCTCTCAGGAACACGCTTTGGTTTAAATATGGCTCAGCGTACAGCAGACCAGCCTGGTTGTGTAGGAATTCACATGGCTCTTGCTTCATATTACTTAAAAATGAAGGATCTAACCAAAGCTGAAGAATATTTGGATAATGCTTCGAAACTAGACCCTGGAAACAGTGAAGTTCTTTGGCTTCAAGCTAAAATCAGAAAAGATAAAAGTCTTGAGCAACAAACGAAAAAATGCAAGGAGAAGTTTGTCCCACCAAAGCAGGGGAAATTGAAAATGAAAGATCCATTCAAGGTAATATTATTTTTAGAATAAATGCCAAAGGTGTGCATCCAGTTTGATTTAATCTGCAGGATCTTACAAGTAAATGTTGATGATTGATCAATAACAGGAACCTAGACTCCTTGGGGACAGTTACAAATTAGAAGACAAAGGAAGTCACTGTGCTAATGGAGTATTGTTTTTGTCTGTAAATGTATACATCATGCTAGCTTCTGAAGGAAATCCTTTCAAAACATTGCATAGAGCATTTTATGATAAATGTCATGGTGAAAGAAATACAAATCAAATTGTGTAGATGTAGAAATTTCATCTTCTATTATTTCTTTTGTAGCTGGAGATAAAGTTTCACCAGGTTTCCAGAATCTCAAAAAATAAAGTGTAATAAAACTAAATGGCATCAGTTTGATCCAGTTTAGTTGTTTGTCAGCTATATGATGCACCAAGAAATCCAATTAAATTAAACGTTAGCCAGTGTTCATTGTCAGTGATTTTGTTTATAATATACACTGCTGTGAGATGTTTAAAAGAACATGAATTATTGAAATTAAACTCTACTGGCTACCGATCATTGTTTTGTTTGCTGATATAATTATTTTTCCTCTTTCAGGTTGAGCGATGTGCATTTCCTACTCTTACTCCTCAAGAGTTCTTATTGCAATATGCAGTGACAGGAAAACCAGTTATCATCACAGGTCTTGTTCAACATATGACTTCCAGTCCTTGGAATATACAGTATATCAAAAAGGTGAGAATTGACTTGAGGGGAAAATAACCATGTTTTTGGTGTGATAGCATATTAATTAAGTCTATACTTCTTGATATACTAGTAGATTAATTTATCAATATGCAATATGGGGGGGGGGGGGGGGGGGTGCTCCCTCCAAATGGGGTGGGGAAGTGCCGCTGGGACCTCAAAACCCTGACCCTGAGTGAATTTACTGAAAACTATACCCTGTTCCAGAGTAAATTCGCTGAAAACTATACCCTGTTCCAGAGTAAAATCCAACACTAGCCTGTGTGTAGACCTTATTTTTACCCCGGGAATTTTTACCCGGCATCGATAATTCCGGAATTTAACGCTGACTCTGTTCCAGAGAAAAATCAGTGAAATCGATAGCCGGAGAGCTGAGAGAAATTCATGAGATCTATAGTATTTTCAAGAAATCAGAGTTCCCTGATTTAATTCATCATTTTCATCTGCATTCTCTCTGGCATAACTTCAGAAAGCAATCAAGTAGTTGATACAGTATAGTGCCAATGTGATGTGCACCAGCTTGGCTACCAGTGAAAATGGATTGTATTTATAGAGGATGTTCATGATAATTGTTAATTAAGTTATGGTAACTGTGGTTTAACTGTGGGGTTTTCTGATCTTGATAATCACGTCAAACCTCAGGCAGCAATATTACACCTGTGCTTGTTATTTTCTTCCTGAGCAACATCCAGTGAATGTTAATACAGTGAATCAGTGCAACGGTGCCACACTATTTACCTAACCGCACCGAATCGCATTATTTTCAATTTCTCGCACTTTTCATGGATTTTCACACTTTTAAGGTTAATTTCATTAGTAAACAAACAAAATTGCTCTGAAAGAATAATAAGACGGACTATTTAAAAATCAAACGTAACTTCTTTACCAAACAAAATTAACGGACAGAAATATGTAACTTTAAACAAGAGAATGCCAAAAGGAAATTCAATGTGGCGTTTGAATAGTCATTTTTTCCCCAAAATTAATTTATACAAATTTATTATCCACACTTTTTCAGACTATTTTAGAAAAAAATAGCACTTTTTCGCACTATTTTCTATATTTTTCTGCACTCTACCAGATTCGCTGTTAATAGGACCCATAATCCATATCCCTATTTTTTGTTTGCTTAACATTTAGATTTCAACTGCACAAAAATAATAAAGATATAGTATTTTTGCTTTCTTTGATGTATGTTTTCTTATCATTTTCCAGTTTGAGGAGAGAATTGAGAACAATTCAAAACCACAAAATTGCATTAGGTGTCAAATCTTATGTTGAGATTTTTGTCACTCATGTCAGTCATTTTTTGGTATATTCTGTGTTGATACATGTAGGTTATTGGACATAACATAATACCAACAAGACAACAATCACAAGAAAGCCGTACTGTAGCACATATAATTGACAGCCTTCACAATAACAGGAAGTCATCATGTTCCTATGGGTGGACTATGACAAGTATTGGATCTGATTTGACAAAGGATCTGTGCATCCCAAGATATGTTGCTGATGACTTCTTACAAAGAACAAATACAGCTTACCGTGACAGCTGGCCATGTTTGTATATTGAATCAGTAGGGTTGACAGAGCACATGCAGATGGAGCCTTTTGGTTTGAATTGTTGGATAGCTCTGTTTGAAGGAAGGAAAAGGTATACTGGTATTACAATATCTAACAGGCTCTAGTATGTCCATATTATTTATTGGATAATGATTGATATTACTTTCAGGTTTACATTTGTAAGGAAAGAAGATATGCCATGCCTTTACCCATACTGTAATGACAACCTTGACATTGCATTTTATGCCAATATCAACAAGCCAGACCTGCAAGACTTCCCTCTGCTTAGTACCTTCACACCATTAGAGTGTATACTTGAACCTGGAGAGTTTCTATTTATTCCAAGTGGTACTGCATACAGCAGTGAAGCCCTTGATGACTGTCTGGTGTTATCAGGAAACTATGTTGACTTGTCAAACATTGATTGTGTAAAAGAAGAACTGAATGCAATGAAATTGTCAAACCTCAACATCAAAGAATTGTTTGAGCAGCTATCAAGTGAAGCGTTTCCAAGTAAAATGTGGAGTTGTCAGAATGACTTGAAATGGAAAGAGTACAAACATTGGCCAAGAGAAAATTATCAGATGTTTGATATCACACAAAGTGATTGTCTTTGAGCATAGCGTACTTACCATAGAAATAGGTTTACTAGCATAGATATACATTGTGATTACACTAAGAAAATGATCAAACACATTATTCATACATTCAAGCCGTATTGGGCTCTGGCATCCCACCTGATAATCCCATCCCATCCCACCCTTGGGGTGATATGCAGCCATACTTTCATGTCTCTTGTGTAGACTTGATAAATTTGGAAGTGATGATGATGCAAAGTTTAAAGAATATAGCTGTGAGCTTCTTATTTTCCTCATGTTTATCATGAAAACAAGGCTCACCTCGGATGGCAAGCTGAAATACATTCCTTTGAAAAAATACATACAAATATGTAGTTTTGAATATTTATATCTGCATCAATTTAAGTTTTATTTCATATTTATCAATTATTGATGTGCAAAAGTCGATGCTGTTTTTTTCCCTGCTAGATCAAGTGTTCTAAAATTCATGCTAGTGTGATATTCGTCTTTTGCGTACTCAAACCTTGATCTAACTGATAAGCATGACTTATTTTCAAACTCTGATAAAATTTCAAAATGAAGAGTGAGTTATTTTGAATGGCATTGATTTATTTAATTTAAATGTTAGTAAGAGAATAATGGCCTTGGCTTAGAAGTATAATCCAATGTGTGTCCAAAGCAAAAGTAGAAAGAAAACAAAAGACAAAAAGTGGCCGCAATGTTCTTTAAGAATGAAACAGGCTACCAGAGAATTTCTTCCGTGTGAGTGAAGACCTACCAGAGTAATAACTCTGTATATTTAAATATGAATCCAAATTTTAAAATGAATTTAAAATCAATTGCTAAAATTTAAGTAATATTGAAAAGTTGACAATAAATCACATTTTTTAGTTTGGTAGTCATTTTGTCATTGTATTTTGAACTATTGAAGGAGGAAGAAAACAGGAGTTTTATTATAAATACTCAGTTTTTGTTTCTTCTACGTGTGTTTTAATTTTCCGAGCTTTCGGACAACTTGTCCATCATCAGGGTAAAATGAAATTACAATACGTGCGAGGATACAAATGTAAACAAAACACTATGGTAACATAACTGCTAAAGAGCGCGCAATAGTTCAAATCAATTAACATACTGCGTGTGCATAGAATTACACGAAAAATCATTGGATTACAATAGAAAGGATAGAATGTTAAGATTAGTTAATGTGTTAAGAGTTCTATGTTAATAGACCTCTGCAGCTTTTACGTCATGTACCGTATACGCAATGCATTGTAGGACATGTTTGGGATTTCTTTTGTTTTCTCTTGAAACTGATCCCACAATGCATTGAAAATCAAGTAGTGACGTAAAAGGTTCAGAAGTCTATTGATTTGAACTATTGCGCACTCTTAAGCAGTTATGTTACCATAGTGTTTTGTTTACATTTGTATCCTCGCGCAYGCATTGTAATTTCATTTTGCCCTGATGATGGACAAGTTGTCCGAAAACTCGAAAAATTAAAACACACGTAGAAGAAACAAAAACTGAGTATTTATAATGAATCCTACGTACGAAAACATTTTAACAGGAGTTTTAAATTGCTATCATGCAAACAAATACAGGATCTACATCATACAATATAGGAGCCCAAAGCAGTGTCATGCAATATCAGGGCTTTATGCAATATCACACAAATACCATATTTGCTCATGCATAAGCTGCTCTCTTAGATAAGCCACACCCTGATGTTTTCGAGGGAAAAAAGGACACAGAAAATGAACTTTTTTGTGACCGCCACCTGCGAACACAGCTTTCGTTGATTTTAAAGTGTTTTCTGATTCCTGCTGTTTGATTCCCGTGATCCATTGCATATGCATTACTATCAGTTTTAAAACGTGCACTGCAGTCCCAGTGGGGGGGGGGGGGGGTTCTCCCATATATTTGCTATACGGGGACGTGGCGCTGGCCAGGGTATGGTTTTTGGCCTGGTATCTTTTAGCTTTTTTTTGGTATCTTTTATCTTTTTAGCCTTGGTATCTTTTAGCCTGCGTGACGGCTCTAGGGGAAGGGGGGGGGGGAAACAGGAGGGGGTGGGGAGACCCCCTCCCCTTCCGTTTTCCCCCTCCCCTAGAGCCGCCACGCAGGCTAAAACAGGATATACATTTTGCCTCAAAATTGTCTTAAACAGGCTCTACAATTTAGATAAAAGACCGATATATTTTTGTGTGTGTCTTGGACAGGGTAATATTTTCATAAGAAATACCGTAGAAATAGTAGAAATACTGTTTCACTGTCCAAGGATTAACGTTTTACCAAAAATTTCTTATTGTCTTTGATGGATGTCAGTATAATTGCAGTTTTGATGGTTGTGGCTTAGATCGCTATTCCTTATTTTTCCGATTTGTCTTGAACAGGGTATGGATTTTCACTTTCTAGTGTCTTAAACAGGGTCAGGGATTTAGACTGCTGGCGGCACGTATCTATTCAAAACGGGGTCGAGTACTCCCCGGGACTGTAGTAGTGCATGATGCTCTTGGATTTTCTGGTGTAGACATACGGTAATTGTTTAGTTGATAATTGATACTATACAAAGAGTTGTTTTTTATTCAAAAGGTAAAGCAAACTTGTAATTAAGTGATATACATGTGGGTCTGCATATTCTCATCATGCCGCCAAACAAGAGGATCTCTGTTCATTGGCTCAATAACACGCAGGTAGTTCCAGTTAGATTTGTCAATGAGTTAAGAGTGGATGCCGGTAAGAATCAAACATTTTCAAAAAATCTTGCCAACTCTTGAAAAATCGATTTCGCTMATACTMTKAACTTARGTACCCTATTATATAAGATAAACAACCATGTATTTGGTTTTTGAAAATAACGTTTTATTTATGAGTAAATTGAAGTTTCGTGGAACGATGTAAATATGCTAATTTTCGAGTTATGAAATGGCGATAAACTGATGGCCTCATTTGGTTAATGTAGCAATGTTTAATGCTTAAAACATTTATAAGATAAAAATATCACCCATTTTCTTTCATTTGGGCGAGTTTTAAACTTGTGGCTTATATCTAAAATTTCTGGTGAATTTTTATAAATGACACCTGTTTTTGATCGTTAAAACTACTATCAAAATAGCCGTCGATTTGACAAAGACCGATATGATCAAATCAAATGATCTTTGCAGGATGAAATGTCAAGGAAGAGTTCTTTCGATCTATGTAAAAATATCGTTGGGTAAATGTGTTTATGCTTCGCTCGAACCGACCAAAGTTACCGAAATATTCATATTTTCAACAGGTGTGAAACCAACAAGTTGATAAACATGTCAACAAAATAGATCGCTTTATGTTGTGTTTCATACCMAASAGCAARCATRAACTAAACTAAACATTTACCTTATGTTTATCTCGAGAATTTTTGTGTTTTGAGACGTTCTAACCACTTAATCAGGCCATACTTGATCTTCTATTGGGCTTCCTGTGGTTAATTAGGCGCTCTAAGTGATGCTATTTTTAACTSTTAYCGTAAAACTTTATTTGTYGTTTATCTGTTTTATTAAGAGATTTTCATAGAACTTTGCCTTCGCTAAAATTTGTTTTTGTACATACTAAAAAGGAATAATTTCAGCAAAACAAAAAGAATTGTAGCAATTCAAAATTTGATTGGCACTTATGAGTAATTGATTTCCTTTATGACCGCGCGCACGGCCGCCGAACTGCGTTTTAGAAAATTTGTTTAGAACACTGGGTTTACAACTGGGGTTACAACACTGGTTTGTTCAGAGCCCGATAAGGGTTAACTCTTAGAAAACCTATGTTTAACCCTGGATTAACGCAAATCGGGCTTTGAACAACCCGGCCCAGTACTATCGACTATCTACTATTGGCCATCGTTCCGACTTTTCCGTGCYTCGACAAAGCTTTTGTCACTCTGCATCTGGAATTTGAGCCTCTCCTTAAGTCAAAACCAAGGTTTGCACGATTATTTGGACAAATTTTCATGTCAGTGACTTTTGACGTGATTTTAAAGAGGGATGCGCGACTAAGAATAAGTTCGATTTTGTTTTCAGGACCCGTGGGGGGTGGAGGGGGGG